ATGATTTTCTCAGCAATCAGAGATTTATAAGGATTATGTATATGGAAGGACTCAATTTGCAAACTAATTTAAGATTATGGCAAAAAGAAGCAAGTAAAAACAGAGTAAATAGCCCCTTATTGTCTAACTCATCATTACAGTCTTGTGCTATTACAGGTCAAACAATAGCAAAGCAATATCATCAAGAATTCAGAATTCAAGTTTTTATTATATATCTCATGATTCTGACTCTGATGACACTGTGATTTGGAATACTGACTCAAAATCAAATGCTGATTATTTAGACAAAGCTAAAAGCCACATGCAAAAATGGAACAAAAAAGGTAAAACTGAACAAATGAGATCACTGTTATTATCCTTAGCACAAGCCTGCGATAGAGTAGGTGTTTCAAGAAGAGGTGCTGCATTTATAGCATGTACTGTGCTGGAAGACATGAATATAATTTCAAAAGGAGACCAATCTAAAGAAATTGATAAAAATAAGATTCAAAGAGAATGAAAGAAAAGCAGACTTAAAATGCAAAATTTAGACCATGAAAATATTCAAATGAAGGTTTTTATAAAAGAAGTTTTGATAAAGAAAAGATACAGCATTAGTTATTGATGCAAACAAGAAGAAAAGTATACGAAAAACATGTAGTTACAAAAAACATGTAGTTTTAGTACAAGAACCAGGGTCAAAGTATCTAGGGCATGTAGAGACTGCATCAGGACATGTATAAAGCATTAAGTCAAATATAAAAACATTTTTAACTTAAAACAACATTGATAAATCCAAATTAGTTGCCATGGGTTGTGACAGAACAGTATTCAATACCGGATTTCTTAAATGGTGTTATTGCTTTGTTCAAATTAGAACTAAAAAGACCTGTCCACTAGTTTATCTCTCAAATACATGCTAATAAATTGCCTCTTTGGCATCTAATTCAAAAATTAGATGGACCTTCATCAGGATCTAATGGATGGGCTGGACCAATTGGAAGAGAAATTAAATTGTGTGATACCTTGCCAATAGTCAACTTCATTTCTCCAGTGTCACATTTCCAAAAATAGACAAAAAATCTCTTAGTTCTGACCAAAAATACTTACTTTATATTTGCAAAGCAACATCTGCAGGTTATTGTTTATTAAAAAAACCCTTTTGCTAACAGATATCCTGGTAACCTAAAACTTAACTATGCCAAGTAAGTGACCACTGCAAACAGAATATTGAGGTATTATGTTGGATGTAGCAAGCCCTTACACAAGCTGAGAGAAATAGTTCGTTATTAAAGTTTACTGCCAAATGTGGTTCAATATAAGATGAAATTCCTCATGCACAAAAGGTGCTTCACATTTATGGCTAACCTTCAATTTATCCAGGTATGCCAGTAGTGAAAATCATTGATCCAGTTATACAAAGGAATGCTTTTCTTGCGCATCCAGAAAACATGTCTCTTGCTATGATATTGGATACTTGCCCAAATATGAAGAAATTGGCATTACAACAAATAATGAAAGCAAGATTGATGAAAACAAACAAAGTTCGAAAGTTTTCTATGCCAGAAATCAATTTTGAAGCAAAAGACTATATAGACCTAATTGATTGGAAAAAATGTGAACTAAATGAACCTGCGATTACCACTCACATTTCAGAGGCAAATTTAATTGAAATGTTAACAAATGTCTATTTTCAAGATGTGCATGCCATACTCAAGGAGTAGAGAGATGCATCAAACTTGTGACCAAAGCTTCAGATCAAGTTTGCGGTTTGGTTAGTAGAGATGGCTTCATTCGAGCAAGACTTGCATTGCGAAAAATAATGCCTTTATTCAACACAAAAAGACAGTTTGAGACAGATCCAAATAAATCAAATATTTGAACTTTATTGCAGCTAAATTTTAAACATTTTTCAAAAACATTCTCCACTCTATTTTAATTGTACATTATGAACTGCAGAGCTGGTTTGCCAGAAACTCATGAAACAGTGTTTTTTCTCAGCTCTCAAGTGCCATCGTCAGACATTAAAGTATTTTCTTAAAAATTATAATCATTTCTAATATAATCATTGTGTAATGTTTAAACTCAATTACAACTTTAGGATATGCATAGAATTTGTTATTTTTATTTTTTAAAAAAGGTCAGAAAACAAGTTTTTGTAAAGAAAATAAAACCCTTGCGCGAACTGAAGACATAAAAAAAAAAAAAAAAGTTTGGCACAATTACTTTTTATAGCATTATGCAACTTTTGCACTCTATTACAATTTCAAATTCAAAAAAAGTTGTTTTTTGATACATCCTAATAAGTATTATAAAATATTACAAAAAATTATATATTAAAATTTGTTATACTTTTTTTATGCGTTTAAGAGTTAAGAAATAAAAAGAATAAAACAATTATGACAGAGTAGCATCTTGCTTCCTAATTTACCACACCACCCCAAAATTCTGAACTGTGACTTTTAAAACTTCAAAATTTTCTGAAAAAAGTATGACTTTATAGACACAAGGTTGCATTTAAGTAATAAAGGTTGCATTTAAGTATTCAAACAAAGGTAAAAAAATTGAATATCTGAATGTTATTTATAGGAGGCCCTATTTTCTTCTAAATCTCCATACCTTAGAATTAACTTCCAATTTGTGAATTACTTCAAAGACATTAATATTTTATTTGCAGTAGGTAGATTTATAGATTACAAGCAAAAAATGTTGCCTTGGGAGATCCTTAATATTATAATAATTAGAATAATGGTTTATAGTAAAAGACAAGTTAATTTTAATTTAGAAGGTTTAAACCTTTAATTGAAAATTGCTTAAATGAGATATGAGAAATTGATATCTGTATCAAGTTATTTTATCATTAAAAAACTAAAATTTATATTTTTACATGTCTATTGTATATTATTCTATAGTCAAACTGTGAATGTTCTTTTTCATTTCCATTTTTTGTTAGTATTATTGTAGGTTCTTGTCATATTGTAGTTCTTGTCATAAAGAAGTCACTAGAGGCGGCCTAATTGCATCTATAACTCCTCTCAGTGCCATGAGTGGTTTAAGCTATCAATAGAAATAAATATGAATAAAATAAAGATAAACTGAAAAACAGTCAGGTTAAAGCGTTATGAGGTTATTCAAAGTCTATTATAATATTTTGAAGTTTCAGACCAGTTTAGTATTAAGTTTCAGAAGTTTCATATGTTATTATGTAGATAAATGTTAGTACTACAATGTTGGTAACAAAGACCAGTTACAATTATAATGTTGATCAAAGTATTTCAGAGATCTTTATTGTGTAATATGCTACCACCACATAAATGAAATATAAATTTAGGAAGCAATAACTGGAGATAAGACCAAAGGACTAAAAAAAGACTAAAATGGCCTTTTCTAAAACTTTAACAAGCAGTAGGAACATTTTAAATAGAGATGTAAGTCGTTTTTTTGGTTCTTGTTTTTTTGCCAAAAAAAACGTTTTTTTGGCCAAAAAAACAGAGGACTTCGTTTTTTGTTTTTTTTGTTTTTTTTGCGTTTTTGCCTTAAAAACTACTCTTTTTGCATTTTAAACACTGAAATGGTTTTAAAATTTATTTTTGGTGATATTTATTAAATACTTGTTTTAATACTTCCATTTACCATATTTTTAGTATTGTCTTAGTTTAGCAATTGTTCGATTATTCAAAAAAAAAAGAAAAAATTTGAAAAAGCAGCATTAATTAGAATAACGATTTTTTTTTTTTTAATAATTTTTAATAATAATTCTTATAAGTAAAGACAAAGAAGTAAATTTTTATAAGTAAAGACCATGAATTGCATCTTTTTTAATATTGAACTGTTTTAAGAATTTATTATATGAATGAAGTAACACTGCATCGCAAAATAAGTCAGATCTGGGAATTTTTGGTGTGGGTGTGAGGGGGAATCAGGGCTTGTTAAAAATTTAGTTTATTTTGTATCACATTTTTGCCTACTAAAAAAAATTTAAAGATATTTTATAAATTTATGGATTCTGGTGCCGGGTGGTAGGTTCATACCTCTCATTTCCCCTGGATCTGTCACTGGTTTTAAAATTACAAAATTATATTTCAACTTTAACTTCTTCAACTTATATTCATTAAATTTTTCATTAATCCATAATTTTTTTTTGAATAATAATAAATGTATTATTTAATGGAATGAATCCGAATTATCTAAATAAATATTTTTATTATATGAAAGAAATATATTTATTATATGAAACACTGCTTTGCAAAATAAAAAAAGGTAATCATTTTCATGTTTAATATAAGGAAAATGAATAATTTTTTTGAGGTAAAAATCTTGAAATTTTTTTAAAAAATAAATAACTGTTTAGCCATTTTCCTAATCAAAAATATAAATATTTTTATACCACTTTGGCTAAACACTCTGTTTACACAAAATAAGTAAACAAATATACCATAAGAGTTTTAAAAAAATCCAAAAAAACCTACACCCAAACCAAAAAAACGCCAAAAAGACCAAAAAAAACACGTTTTTTTGGGTGAAAAAAACGCGACAGCAAAAAAACGCGTTTTTTTGCAACACTAATTTTAAATAATAAAACTTTAATAAGCAAATACAAGGAAGTCCTGCTTTTGTTTTAAAAAAATTTGACAAGAATACTTTTTATAATAACTCTTATAATTGGTTTTGTTCACATTAAGTTTATTGACCTTATTAAATTGATTTTTTTCTCTCAGCAAGGTGAACAATATATGTATACCCTGCTGAGTGCATTTAGTTTATTTGATGTTTAGTTAAAAAAAATTTTAGTGAAAATAGCTTTATTGTTAAAGTATATATATATATATATATATATATATATATATATATATATATATATATATATATATATATATATATATTACTGTAAAAGTCATTTTAGCCAAGCAAACATCTACTATGCTTTAGTTTTATTTGTTATTTTACTTTAGCTATATATATTAATACTTTACTTTAGCTTAATAAATGTGTTTTTCATACTCAGAATTACTAAATTTTAGATATACAGACAAGAGCTTGAAAATTACACAAACTTCAACTCATTTAATGATTGGTTACACACATTTCCTTTGTACAGAGGTAAAAAGACCTCAGAAGAAGACGATGATGAACACCGCATAGTTGGAACATTTAAAGTATGTTTTTTATTAATTTATTTTGATTTTATTTTATAATCTTATTTTTCTGTTTTCTTTTTTCTTTTTTTTTTTTTTTCAAGTCTTGTTTTTTCAAATAAATGTTTTAAAAATTATTTATAATTTAAAAAAATACATTTATAAAATTACATGATAACAAATAACCTAAATTATTTGCATGTATTTGCATAAATATGTAATTATACCTTAAATAGTTATGTAAGCTGCAGATAGTTATTTAAAATAAAATAATGTTACCATGTTTTTGTATAAATTGGTAAAGTAAAACACAAGCAGTCTCTGTAAAACATTTGTTCATGGTAACAAAGTTAAATTCTAAAAAAAAAAACAATAACATATCAAGTATTTTTTTTCTACATCAAACTTTCGGTTGATATTCTGATAATAATTTTCTTTTGTATTTTTTTTAAGTTATTAAGGTGCTCCAAGAAGACGTATCAGTCATATCACAGAGCAAATTTCTTTTAAGAGTTATTATTTTTATTCCTTTTTTGTCTTTTTTTTTAGGGTTTTATGAAGTATGTTTATAAAAACTTTTTTCTTTTAAGAGTTTATGTTTTTAGTTCTTTTTTGTCTATCTTTGCAACTAAATTCATTTATTACAACTTTTGTTGTTCTTTTATTTAGGTTGGTAATTGGCTTTTAATTTTGTAAATAGATCTACTATTTCAAAATATATAAGATAACATTTATAAATTTGTATTAAAAATACATTTAATTTTGATAAAAAAAAAAAAAAAATTTATTGGGGTTTTTGGTAGCGATGCTGGTTTTTATTTCACAAAATAATTTTTTGTTTTATTTTATATTAATCATCCAAACAATCAGTCAAAGCAGTTTTTGTTTTTTAATTTAATTTTATTTTTTTGTTTTGTTTTATTATAGTATTTATTTTGCAAGATTGATTATTGATTATTATTATTGTATTTATATTTTATTTTTTTATTTTATATCATTTTTGTAATAAAATACTTTAACATATAGTTATCATTTTTGTAGAATTTTGTTTCACGCAAATTTTAGGGTGCATTAAAAGTTTGGAAACATCCATTACCACGCTTCCTTGAAATTGAAAGTCCAACTGCATCTTTTTTCAAGTTGCCAAGCAACGAGCCATTTAGTGTTCTTGTTCGTGTTTACGTAATAAGAGTATGTTATAAAATATGTTTACACTGTTTTAGTTTTTTTAAACTTTTAAATTAGACAAAACTTTTTTATGAAAAAATATTTATATATTTATACTAGATATAAATAAAAAAAAATTTTCTTACTTTTAGGGAATAAATCTTCATCCAACAGATGTGAATGGAAAAGTATGTTTAATTTGAAAAACTTTTTTTTATTTTTATAGTTTTTTGCTGCATGCATTGAAACGAATTCGTCTAGACACTGATTAAAGGCAGATCTTTGATTTTTTAGAATGTTTTCATGGTGTAGTAGTGATCTAACAGTGGTGTAGTAGTGATGTAACAGTGGTGTAATAATATTATATTTATAAATAATATATATCTTTAACAGGTTTTCAATTAGTTGTAATGGTATAGTAGTAGAGTCCTCACTTCGTTAGAGGGGAGTTTGATCCCCTCCTTTTTGTAGTACTTTGCTCAACTTGTTTCTCTTGTCAATGGCCTTGCTTGTCAAATTTTGTGTTTCAGAGTTAAAGAGGGCCGAGTTTTAATAAAAACAGCTGGTGCTGGATTTGTGACCAGGGCTACAAAAACATTAAAAAATCCTAAATTTTTTTATTGTTGAAATTCATGTTGTTTCATATATACATTTATGTATATTTATATATAGACATTATTATGATCAACATGATCATTATCATCATTATCAAGTATTAGCCTTTTCCTTTTTATGCTGTTTCTTTATTACAAATCTTCATTCCTTAACTAAAGCTTGTTCATACCATTGCTCATGCATTCTCTACAAGTGTTCTTTCTACCTCAACCATTTTCTTCTGAAGTTGCTTCTTCTGAAGCTGCTACCTCTTTTCATGCTGATAACCAAATCACTTTAATCTTATCTATAGAACATTGTCAAACATTTCATCTATAATTCATGGGTCTGATCTTATTACTTCTCCCCAAAATAAGGCAGAGTTATTTGCAAAGAAATTTTCCTTTAATACGACAATTGAATCTAATGGCCACACTCTTCCTGCCATTTCTGTTCTATTCTTCCTGTCATTTCAGCTTAACAGATTAATCTATTGTTTAACCATATTCTTCCTGCCATTTCAGTTAAACAGATTAATCTATTGTTAGGCATCCAAATCACTTTGACTTCCGATGCTAAAGTAAAGTAAGTGCTACATTCTTAGTTAAACTCTTCTACAGCTTGTGGTTCACACAACATATCCATCATAGTCTTACAAAAGTGTTTGAAATATTTAGATAACCAATTGAAGAGATAATTTCTATAAACAGTGCTTCAATTTAAGGATGCCCACAGAAAACCTGTAATAAAACATTAATTCCAACTTGGTCAATAAAAATTAATTGTTCCTCTGATTACATTTGCGGAGGAGTACATAATTTCTTTGTTTCATAATTTCTTTGTTTCATAATTTCTTTGTTTCATAATTTCTTTGTTTCATAATTTCTTTGTTTCATAATTTCTTTGTTTCATAATTTCTTTGTTTCATAATTTCTTTGTTTCATAATTTCTTTGTTTCATAATTTCTTTGTTTCATAATTTCTTTGTTTCATAATTTCTTTGTTTCATAATTTCTTTGTTTCATAATTTCTTTGTTTCATAATTTCTTTGTTTCATAATTTCTTTGTTTCTAGATGGTGTTTTCAGTATTTTGTCATTCAATAATTTGAATTATTTTCAAAAAGTAGTGAAAGTTATTCAATATTTGTCTGAGGGTTGATTTTGAAATCACATTTGCAAATTCTTCCATTACCTCAGTAGTAATTCTGTTCAAGGAGATTGTATAATTCGCAAATTGTATAATCAATAATAACTTTTATTTTATTTATTATTATAATTAAAACTTTATTATTCTTTAATAAAGTTTTGATTATTAAAAAAAGATTTTATTTTATTTGTAATATTTGTTCAAAACAAGATCATGTAAGATCATATTTTCATATTGTGTTTGACATTTTTTAGCATTTTGCTTAATGCATTTATTTATATAAACATCACATTGTAAAAGACATACATTTATGTCATATTAGTTACCTTAGATGTGAATAATACACTTTTTTAAATATATTTTACAAATATTGTATTTTCATAATGTTGTTGTAATTAATAAATATTTATTTAATTTTGTAATTTAATGTTGTAATTAATAAATATTTATAATAAATTTATTTTTAAAGAAAAATTTTGTTGTAGTCTGATCCATATGTGGTAATAAATTTGGGTCGTCAAAAAGTGAAAGACAGAGAAAACTATGTTTCTAAACAACTTAATCCAATTTTTGGAAGGTAATTTTTATTTATTTATGTATATATATATATATATATATATATATATATATATATATATATATATATATATATATATATATATATATATATATATATATATATATATATATTTATATATATATATTTATAGCCCAATAACTTCTTACTTGTTAAAAAGTTTTTCATAAGGAGGCGGAAACCTAATATTTAACATTAAATATATATTTTGAATATATATGATTAAATATATATTTTCTTATTTTATAAAAAAAATAATTCTTTATAGTATAGCATCATTGGTACCAAATAATGTTTTGTTTATTTCCCTATACCATTTTCAGAAAGGATAAATTTTTTCTCATTTTTACTTTGAACTATTTAAATAGTTTTTATAATGCAAACATAATTTCCATAAAGAGTTTGCGCATAGTGCCCATTCAGAATTGATAATTGACTATATTATAATATTTAAATTCTACAGTTAAATTTTATAATGACAGAGTGTTTGACATTGAAGCTGTCATCCCTATGGAAAATATGTTAACAGTTAGTCTTTATGATTATGACATGGTTGGAACTGATGATCTCATTGGAGAAACAAAAATTGATATTGAAAATCGACTATTCTCAAAGCATAGACCTTCTTGTGGTCTATCAACTACTTATTCAACGTATGTTGTATTGTTTTTTATTTTGTTTTAATTTAAAGATAACCAGCTTATAATTAACTGATTCTACCTAAGATACTAAACTTATAACTTATTTACATAAAAGAACTAATGGTTGGCATGAATTTATTTTTAATAAAATAACTTTATAATGATTCCAAGGAATTCATTTTGATTGGTTACTTTGGTGAAACTGATCATAATTTAATATACAACAATAAACAATAAATAAAAAATTATTGTTTTATTATATATTTATTATATGTGTTGTTTAAATTGTTTTCCAATTGTTTAAATTGTTTTCCAATTGATAAGTAACTGCTTCTTTATAGAATAATTTGAAATGTTTGAATCCTAAATAAATGTTTCCTTAATTTCAATTTTAATTATTTTTCTAGAAGACTTTGTTTGATTCTGTTACATTTTTTTTCATGTTAAGAGTGGCAATGGTTTAGCTTATTATTATTTGATTTCTTTTTTGAATCTCTAATAGTGATGAAATAAAAATTTAAGGCCTTTTGTTTTGTAATTGAGTAAATTAGTTTTGGAAGCATTAATTTAATAATTTAGAAATAATTTTAATGATGAACAATGGAATTGGAGCCAACAAGTTCCATTTCCATTGGGACTATTCCAGGAATACAGCCTTAACAACTAATCAAGAACATAAATTATATTTATAGATTTGGTTTTAACAAATGGAGAGACCCAATGAAGCCTACTCACATTTTAGCAAGATTGTGTAAAGATGAAGGGCTTGATGGCCCTCATTATATAGCATCTGGAAAATGCAGAGTGGAAAACATGATTTTTGCAGCATCTAGTACAATCTTGGATGAAGCTGGTAAGTCAACTTTTTAAAACTTTTAACATAAATTTTGTTTTTTAAACTTTTATCATTTTATTTTTTATAATTCAAGTTTTACTTCTAAAGGTAATCTTAAAACATCAGATGAGCCATGTGCACTCAAAGCTCTTCATAACTTCCATCGAATACCGAAAAAAGGATTTCATTTAGTACCTGAGCATGTTGAAACTAGAACACTATATAATCCAGAAAAACCTGGGGTTGAGCAGGTAATTTCGCTTTTTAATAACGTATATTGTGAGTTTAACAATCTATCTAAATAGAGTTTGTAGATAAATTCATAATAATTTATTGAAATTTATTTATATACTGAAATATGTTGTGTTGTTTTAGCTATTGATTGTTATAATTAGAATCAATGATTATA